GTAGAGACACACAGAGACATATACAGACACACAGATACACATAGAGACACACAGAGACACATAGAGACACACAGATACACATAGAGACACACAGAGACACACAGATACACATAGCGACATACAGATACACATAGAGACACACAGAGACACATAGAGACACACAGATACACATAGAGCCACACAGAGATCCATAGAGACCCATAGAGACACACAGAGACACATAGAGACACACAGATACACATAGAGACACACAGATACACATAGAGACACACAGAGACACATAGAGACACACAGATACACATATAGACACACAGAGACACATAGGTACACATTAAAGACAAGCCACAGGCATGCCATGGTAGCCATGCAACTAAAACTGATCATACCGTGAACCCATAGAGATACACAAAGACCTGCAGAGGTACCTAGACCCTGCAGTACAATCTCTGTGGTCTGCGCTCCTTCAACGGAGGAGGAGAACGGCAAAGCGCCACGAACTCTGTCTGTCTGTCTCTGCTGAAGCCCTCTCGTCGTGGCCACCAGGAGCAGCAGCCCTTGACATTGGCATCGGCATCGACCTCCCGAGCCAGATTGCTGTCATGCGCAAGAAAAGCCTCAACAGACTGTTGGGGCAAGCGCTGTTAGCGCGTAGCAGCAGTGAAGGCCGGCACTGCGGCACACGAGGTGGCGCGGTGGCCAAGAACCACGCCCGGCCGCCTTTGTCTCCCCAGTGCTGATGTTTAATACACACCGCACCGGGGTACTGCCCAGGACAGGTTCAGGTATTCGATGTCACTGGCCGTGAGCGGCAATATAACTCGAGTCGCCGGGGTTCGTAGAACAGTGGCGCTCAAGCGCCGCAGCGAGAGCTGTATGACGAGACCGACACACACACACGCAGTGTTGACACGCGGTACGAAGGCGTTCGTGCTCTGACACGCGTGTGTGTGTATACGTGTTTGTGTATACACGTGTGTGTGTACGTACACACACACACGTGTGTACACACGCGTGTCAGTGGCCAGTGGTACGGGCTGGTTGCGCAAGGCCAGTGTTTGATGTGCAAAATTCTGACATCTGTGGAGCGGAGCGGGGTGGCTTAATTAGGCCGCAAAAAAAAATCGACACTTGTTAAAGAAGAGAGAGACATGAAAGGATTTAGATTCGTGTTGCATGCGCCACGCGTTCACTGCGCGGGGCGCGTTTTCGCTGAGTTGTATAATTGTCCCGGTGGTGGTGGTGGTGGTTGTCGCCGCCGCTGTGGCTGTTGTAGCTGGTGTCGTTGTTGTAGAGAGATTATTTTATTACATTTCACAGCGATATGTAAGACCAACCAGAGGTGGCTCAGAGGTGGCTCAGAGGTTACAAATGCACCGAGGACCGAGCGCCTGCATGGGTTCGAATCTGGGGTTCGGCTGCCTGGGAATAAACCGAGAGAGAGATACACATTATGTTGGCGATACTGCTGCGTTAGTAGTGATGCACAAAAACAACAACATCAACAACTCAACACACTCGTCAATAACAACAACGTGGCCTTACCAGAAAAAAATGTAATAGACGTTTCGGACAATACTCCTTCTTCATAGCGCATCACGAGCTTATTAGTAAACAAACAACATTGGTGGCATGGCAACATAAAGACACCGACTAGTCCCACGCGGCTCTTTGAGTACACGGCCCAAAGGTCCAGCACGTCGAACGGCCAGCGACAAACAGCACCGTTATCACAGATGTCACAGATCAGAGGTCAGTTCGCGTTCCTTGAATTGAACGAGGCGATTATTGTTGTAAGCTTTTGGTGGTGGTGGGGGGGGGAGATACGGTGGTGGTGGGGGGGGGAGATGCGATGTTGGTGGGGGGGGGGAGATACGATGTTGTAGTGGGGGGGGATACGATGTTGGTGGGGGGGGAGATACGATGTTGGTGGTGGTGGTGGGGGGAGATGTGGTGCTGGTGGGGGGAGATACGGTGGTGGTGGGGGGGGAGATACGATGGTGGTGGGGGTGGTGGGGGGGAAGATGTGGTGGTGGGGGGGGAGATGTGGTGGGGGGGGGAGATGTGGTGGTGGGGGGAGATGTGGTGGTGGTGGTGGTGGGAGATGTGGTGGTGGGGGGAGATGTGGTGGTGGGGGGAGATGTGGTGGTGGGGGGAGATGTGGTGCTGGTGGGGGGAGATGTGGTGCTGGTGGGGGGAGATGTGGTGCTGGTGGGGGGAGATACGATGGTGGTGGTGGGGGGAGATACGATGGTGGTGGTGGGGGGAGATACGGTGGTGGGGGGGAGATACGATGGTGGTGGTGGGGGGGGGGATACGATGGTGGTGGGGAGGGGGATACGATGGTGGTGGTGGTGGTGGGGGAGGGAGATACGGTGGTGGTGGTGGGGAGATACGATGTTGGTGGTGGGGGGGGGGGGAGATACGATGGTGGTGGTGGGGGGAGATACGATGGTGGTGGGGGGAGATACGATGTTGGTGGTGGGGGGGGGGAGATACGGTGGTGTTGGTGGTGGGGGGAGATACGGTGGTGTTGGTGGTTCAAGGAGGGAAATTCAAGGTGGAGCAGTGCGAGCAAAGAAGCAGGTGACCTGCGGTGTGGTGGGTAAATGAGTGGGTGGGTGGGTGGGTGAGTGGGTGGGTGATTGAGTGAGTTATTGAGTGGGTGAGTGGATGAGTGAGTGGGTGAGCTAGGGGACGAGTGAGTGGGTGATTGAGTGAGCGGGTGAGTGGGTGAGTGAGTAGGTGAATAAGGGGATGAGTGAGTGGATGGGTGAGTGAGGGAGTGGTGGTGGCTGAACACAGCGTGCTGCTATCGGATCAGACGGAACAGTCAGTGTGTGGTAGCTCGAGTCCTCGGGATTGGTGGAAGAGTCTCAAGGTAACAGACCCCCCCCCCCCACCTCTATCCGCAAGATGTCTCATCAGCAGGCGGTTTCTTAGCAACCACAGCGGCTCCTGTGAAGAAAAGCGCGTCTCTCGTGAGCGCGCATGAGCACCAAGCGGGGGCGAGCACTCGGCACGTGTGCGTGTGTGTACGTGTGCGTGTGTGTACGTGTGCGTGTGTACGTGTGTGTAGCTGGTGCGGTGTGTAAACATCGCCACTCGGGAGACAAAGGCGGCCGGGCGTGGGTGCTGGCCACCCACCCCCTCGTGTGCCGTGCCGGCCTTCGCAGGTGCTACTCGCGAACAGCACTTGTCCCAACAGTCTGTTAAGGCTACACGGGGGGATCTTTGTCTTTGTTGGTGCGTGCGTGTGTATTGAGTTGGGGGCGGTGGCGCAGCGGTAAGTGCGCTGCGCTATGAACCGTGCGACCCGAGTTCCGTTTCAGCTCACGGCCACCACCAGTGACAATTATCCGAACCGGTGCTGGGTCTCCCCTAGCTCGACTCAGCCTCAAACGAGTACCTGGTGCGGTGTGTAAAACATCAGCCCTGGGGAGACAAAGGCGGCCGAGCGTGGTGTTGGCCACCCACCCCCTCGTGTGCCGTGCCGGCCTTCATAGGTGCTGCTCCTCGTCCCAACAGTCTGTTGACAAGCAGCAATACAGGGGTCACAAATCTAGCACATGCCTGATGATTCTGGTTGTGTCTCCCAGCGAAACGTCGGACTACCGCATTGTTAAACGCGTGTGTATCGTTGTCCAACATCACACCGGTGGTGCCGCTAAAGTAGAGACCACTTTATTAACTTGCTCTGTCGAGTGGCGGAGGGTGCACGACACACGCATTTATTTTCGCGAATTCGAATAACTAAAAACATCTTCCATAAGTACAGGTATTTTTGGGGTTAGATCGCGTAAATATATGAACGTGTCGTTAAACCCGCCAATTAGTAAAGTTTGTCACGTAAACAGAACGTGTCATGGTCGTCCCCCTTCCTAAGAAGAAGAAGGAGGAGGAGGAGGGGGGGGGCCGCACTGATTGCAACAACCACCGGGGCAGCTTCCTCCTCGGCGCGCAGGGAAAGGTCCTGGCAAGCACTGCATGGTGAGAGGAGGCCTCCAAGGACGGAGCGTCACTTTAGACGCCTGGTATCGATGCCATGGGCCCAGATCGGCTGCTCCGGCAACACAGAGTCCGGCAGATGTACTTGTTTGGAGCCGGTGCGCATCCACGACGTCGTGTGGATGCGCCGATGCCGGAACAGCGTGTTGGTGATTTACAGGTCCACGAAGTCTCGCGCAGAAGTCTAGCGGCTTCCTCAAATTGTTGTTGATCCGATCTAGCCCATGCCTTCCAATAACTCTGGCCCACGTGCCCGAGTCATAGCTCACCCGGGCATTGAAGTCACCCAACAGGATATCCCGAGGGGCCACTTTAGCTAACACCTGGGACAGGAGGTCTCAGAGGGCATCTGACTCATCGGCCTTGCCTGCATCCCTCCACTGATGTTCATCTTCGATAGGGGCGTAAAGGCCACAAACTCACACCGAGCCGCATGCACGTTTCACCAGAACGCACAAAGGCACCAAACTGTTGGGGAACGTGCTGTGAGCGACTGACACCTACGAAGAACGGCACGGTACACGAGGGGTGGGTGGTCAGCACCACGCCTGGCCACCTTAGTCTTCCTCAATGGCGTTCTTGCCCCGGGTCTTTAGCTAGAGCTTAGGTGACGTATTGGAGGCCCGGGATTGATTCAGAAAATCGTCACAGGGTATTGGCAGTGAGCGGGAATCGAGTTCGGGTGGCCGGGTTCGTAGCGCAACGCAGCGCTAACCGCGACTCCACCGCTCCCCACACACCCACACGCACCCACACGCACACACACGCACACACGCGTACACACACGCACGCACCCACACACGCGTACACACACGCACACGCACACACACGCACCCACACGCACACACGCGTACACACGCACAAACGCACCCAAACGCACACGCACGCACCCACACGCACACACGCGTACACACACGCACACGCACGCACCCACACGTACACACACGCACACACACGCACACACGCGTACACACACGCACACACGCACCCACACGCACACGCACACACACGCACACACACGCACCCACACGCACGCTACACCGTCCAACCAGTGTCCCTACTCTCTTGGAGGAACAGCAGCAGCAGCAGCAGCCTCACACAGAGCGCGCGACACGGAGCCACGCGGTCCACTCTGAGCGTGGGGCAGGAGGAGGAGGGTGCAGGGGGAGGAAGGTGATGATGGCAGGAGGAGGAGGAGGAGCAGGGACTCGTACTCGACGAGAGCCGTGAGTCCGCGAGGCTGCGCGGGGGACAGAGAGAGAGAGCGAGAAAGAGGAATGAAAAGATAGGCGGAGAGAGAGAGAGACGGAGAGAGAGAGAGAGACGGAGAGGGGGGGCTTATCTCGTGGTGTCAGTGGGGCGACGCTGATCTCGCCGGCCAGGGCAGCTGCCTCTGCCTCCTCCTGCAGGTGTGTGGTGTGTGTGTGGGGTGTGTGTGGTGTGTGTGTGGTGTGTGTGTGTTGTCTGTGTGTGGGGTGTGTGTGTGGTGTGTGTGTGTGGTGTGTGTGTTGTCTGTGTGTGGGGTGTGTGTGTGTGGGGTGTGTGTGAAGTGTGTGTGGTGTGTGTGTGTTGTCTGTATGTGGGGTGTGTGTGTGGTGTGTGTGTGGTGTGTGTGGAGTGTGTGTGTAGGATGTGTGTGGGGTGTGTGTGTGTGGGGTGTGTGTGATGTGTGTGTGGTGTGTGTGCGTTGTCTGTGTGTGGTGTGTGTGTGTGTGGTGTGTGTGTGGTGTGTGTGGAGTGTGTGTGTAGGATGTGTGTGGGGTGTGTGTGTGAAGTGTGTGTGGTGTGTGTGTGTTGTCTGTGTGTGGTGTGTGTGGTGTGTGTGTGGGGTGTGTGGTGTGTGTGTGTTGTCTGTGTGTGGGGTGTGTGTGTGGTGTGGTGTGTGTGGAGTGTGTGTGTAGGGTGTGGGTGGGGTGTGTGTGTGGGGTATGTTGTGTGTGGGGTGTGTGTGGTGTGTGTGTGGTGTACTGTGTGTGTGGTGTGTGTGGTGTGTTGTGTGTGTGGTTTGTGTGTGGTGTGTGTGTGGTGTGTGTGTGGTGTGTGTGGGGTGTGTGTGCGGTGTGTTGTGTGCGGTGTGTTGTGTGCGGTGTTTTGTGTGTGGTGTGTGTGTGGTGTGTGTGTGTGGTGTGTGTGTGTGTTGTGTGTGTGTGTGTGGTGTGTGTGTGGGGTGTGTGTGGGGTGTGTGGGGTGTGTGTGGTGTGTGTGTGGTGTATTGTGTGTGTGGTTTGTGTGTGGGGTGTGTGTGTGGTTTGTGTGTGTGGTTTGTGTGTGGTGTGTGTGTGGTTTGTGTGTGTGGTATGTGTGTGGTGTGTGTGTGGTGTGTTGTGTGTGTGGTGTGTGTGGTGTGTGTGTGGTGTGTTGTGTGTGTGGTTTGTGTGTGGGGTGTGTGGTGGTGTGTGGTGATGTGTGTGGTGTGTGTGGTGTGTGTGTTGTGTGTGTGTAGTGTGTGTGGTGTGTGTGCGGTGTTTGCGGTGCGTGTGGTGTGTGTGTGGTGTGTGGTGTGTGTGTGGGGTGTGTGGTGGTGTGTGGTGTGTGGTGGTGTGTGTGGTGTGTGGTGTGTGTGTGGGGTGTGTGGTGTGTGTGTGGGGTGTGTCGTGTGTGTGGTGTGTGTGTAGTGTGTGTGGGGTGTGTGTGTGGTGTGTGTGTGAGGTGTGTGTGGTGTGTGTGGGGTGTGTGTGGGGTGTGTGTGGTGTGTGTGTTGTGTGTGTGGTGTGTGGTGTGTGTGTGGGGTGTGTTGTGTGGGGTGTGTGTGGTGTGTGTGTGGTGTATTGTGTGTGTGGTGTGTGTGGTGTGCTGTGTGTGTGGTTTGTGTGTGTGGTGTGTGTGGTATGTGTGTGGTGTGTGTGTGGTGTGTGTGTGGGGTGTGTGTGCGGTGTGTTGTGTGCGGTGTTTTGTGTGTGGTGTATGTGTGTGTGGTGTGTGTGTGGTGGTGTGTGTGGTGTGTGTGTGTGGTGTGTCGTGTGTGTGTGGTGTGTGTGTGGTGTGTGTGTGGGGTGTGTGTGTGTGTGGTGTGTGTGGTGTGTGTGGGGTGTGTGTGTGGTGTGTGTGTGGTTTGTGTGTAGGGTGTGTGGGGGTGTGTGTGGTGTGTGTGTTGTGTGTGTGGTCTGTGTGTGGTGTGTGGGGTGTGTTGTGTGGGGTGTGTGTGTGTGGGGTGTGTGTGTGGTGTGTGTGTGTTGTCTGTATGTGGGGTGTGTGTGTGGTGTGTGTGTGTGGTGTGTGTGGAGTGTGTGTGTAGGATGTGTGTGGGGTGTGTGGGGTGTGTGTGAAGTGTGTGTGGTGTGTGTGCGTTGTCTGTGTGTGATGTGTGTGTGTGTGGTGTGTGTGTGGTGTGTGTGGAGTGTGTGTGTAGGTTGTGTGTGGGGTGTGTGTGTGAAGTGTGTGTGGTGTGTGTGTGTTGTCTGTGTGTGGTGTGTGTGGTGTGTGTGTGGGGTGTGTGGTGTGTGTGTTGTCTGTGTGTGGGGTGTGTGTGTGGTGTGGTGTGTGTGGAGTGTGTGTGTAGGGTGTGGGTGGGGTGTGTGTGTGGGGTATGTTGTGTGTGGGGTGTGTGTGGTGTGTGTGTGGTGTATTGTGTGTGTGGTGTGTGTGGTGTGTTGTGTGTGTGGTTTGTGTGTGGTGTGTGTGGTGTGTGTGTGGTGTGTGTGCGGTGTGTTGTGTGCGGTGTGTTGTGTGCGGTGTTTTGTGTGTGGTGTGTGTGTGTGGTGTGTGTGTGTGGTGTGTGTGGTGTGTAGTGTGTGTGTGTAGTGTGTGTGTGTGTGGTGTGTGTGTGGGGTGTGTGTGGGGTGTGTGGGGTGTGTGTGGGGTGTGTGTGGTGTATTGTGTGTGTGGTTTGTGTGTGGTGTGTGTGTGTGGTTTGTGTGTGTGGTTTGTGTGTGGTGTGTGTGTGGTTTGTGTGTGTGGTGTGTGTGGTGTGTGTGTGGTGTGTTGTGTGTGTGGTGTGTGTGGGGTGTGTGTGGTGTGTTGTGTGTGTGGTTTGTGTGTGGGGTGTGTGGTGGTGTGTGGTGGTGTGTGTGGTGTGTGTGGTGTGTGTGTTGTGTGTGTGTAGTGTGTGTGGTGTGTGTGCGGTGTGTGCGGTGCGTGTGGTGTGTGTGTGGTGTGTGGTGTGTGTGTGGGGTGTGTGGTGGTGTGTGTGGTGTGTGGTGGGGTGTGTGGTGTGTGGTGTGTGTGTGGGGTGTGTGGTGTGTGTGTGGGGTGTGTGTGGTCTGTGTGTGGTGTGTGTGAGGTGTGTGTGGTGTGTGTGGGGTGTGTGTGGGGTGTGTGTGGTGTGTGTGTTGTGTGTGTGGTGTGTGTGTGGTGTGTGTGTGGGGTGTGTTGTGTGGGGTGTGTGTGGTGTGTGTGTGGTGTATTGTGTGTGTGGTGTGTGTGGTGTGCTGTGTGTGTGGTTTGTGTGTGTGTGGTGTGTGTGGTGTGTGTGTGGTGTGTGTGTGGTGTGTGTGTGGGGTGTGTGTGCGGTGTGTTGTGTGCGGTGTTTTGTGTGTGGTGTATGTGTGTGTGGTGTGTGTGTGGTGTGTGTGTGGTGGTGTGTGTGGTGTGTGTGTGGGGTGTGTCGTGTGTGTGTGGTGTGTGTGTGGTGTGTGTGTGGGGTGTGTGTGTGTGGTGTGTGTGTGGGGTGTGTGTGGTGTGTGTGATGTGTGTGGGGTGTGTGTGTGTGGTGTGTGTGTGGTTTGTGTGTAGGGTGTGTGTGGGGTGTGTGTGGTGTGTGTGTTGTGTGTGTGGTCTGTGTGTGGTGTGTGTGTGGGGTGTGTTGTGTGGGGTGTGTGTGGTGTGTGTGCGGTGTTTTGTGTGTGGTGTATGTGTGTGTGGTGTGTGTGTGGTGTGTGTGTGGGGTGTGTTGTGTGTGGGGTGTGTGTGGTGTGTGTGTGGTGTATTGTGTGTGTGGTTTGTGTGTGGTGTGTGTGTGTGTGGTGTGTGTGTGGTGTGTTGTGTGTGGGGTGTGTGGTGGTGTGTGGTGGTGTGTGTGTTGTGTGTAGTGTGTGTGTGGTGTGGGTGCGGTGTGTGTGGTGTGTGTGGTGTGTGGTGTATGTGGAGTGTGTGGGGTGTGTGGTGTGTGGTGTGTGTGTGTAGTGTGTGTGGGGTGTGTGTGTGTGTAGTGTGTGTGGGGTGTGTGTGGGGTGTGTGTGGGGTGTGTGGTGTGTGTGTGGTGTGTGTGTGTGGTGTGTGTGGAGTGTGTGTGTAGGGTGTGTGTGTGGGGTGTGTGTGTGGTGTGTGTGTGGTGTGTGTGTGGTGTGTTGTGTGTGTGGTTTGTGTGTGGGGTGTGTGGTGGTGTGTGGTGGTGTATGTGGTGTGTGTGGTGTGTGTGTTGTGTGTGTGTAGTGTGTGTGGTGTGTGTGCGGTGTGTGCGGTGCGTGTGGTGTGTGTGTGGTGTGTGGTGTGTGTGTGGGGTGTGTGGTGGTGTGTGTGGTGTGTGGTGGGGTGTGTGGTGTGTGGTGTGTGTGTGGGGTGTGTGGTGTGTGTGTGGGGTGTGTGTGGTGTGTGTGGGGTGTGTGTGGGGTGTGTGTGTGTGGTGTGTGTGAGGTGTGTGTGGTGTGTGTGGGGTGTGTGTGGGGTGTGTGTGGTGTGTGTGTTGTGTGTGTGGTGTGTGTGTGGTGTGTGTGTGGGGTGTGTTGTGTGGGGTGTGTGTGGTGTGTGTGTGGTGTATTGTGTGTGTGGTGTGTGTGGTGTGCTGTGTGTGTGGTTTGTGTGTGTGGTGTGTGTGGTGTGTGTGTGGTGTGTGTGTGGTGTGTGTGTGGGGTGTGTGTGCGGTGTGTTGTGTGCGGTGTTTTGTGTGTGGTGTATGTGTGTGTGGTGTGTGTGTGGTGTGTGTGTGGTGGTGTGTGTGTGGGGTGTGTCGTGTGTGTGTGGTGTGTGTGTGGTGTGTGTGTGGGGTGTGTGTGTGTGGTGTGTGTGTGGGGTGTGTGTGGTGTGTGTGATGTGTGTGGGGTGTGTGTATGTGGTGTGTGTGTGGTTTGTGTGTAGGGTGTGTGTGGGGTGTGTGTGGTGTGTGTGTTGTGTGTGTGGTCTGTGTGTGGTGTGTGTGTGGGGTGTGTTGTGTGGGGTGTGTGTGGTGTGTGTGTGGTGTATTGTGTGTGTGGTGTGTTGTGTGTGTGGTTTGTGTGTGTGGTTTGTGTGTGTGGTGTGTGTGTGGTGTGTGTGTGTGGTGTGTGTGCGGTGTTTTGTGTGTGGTGTATGTGTGTGTGGTGTGTGTGTGGTGTGTGTGTGGTGTGTGGTGTGTGTGGGGTGTGTGTGGTGTGTGTTTGGTGTATTGTGTGTGTGGTTTGTGTGTGGTGTGTGTGTGTGTGGTGTGTTGTGTGTGTGGTTTGTGTGTGTGGTGTGTGTGGTGTGTGTGGTGTGTGTGTGGTGTGTTGTGTGTGGGGTGTGTGGTGGTGTGTGGTGGTGTGTGTGTTGTGTGTAGTGTGTGGTGTTGGTGCTGTGT